GACCACAGATATATACACTCTCTCCCTACACCACTCTCACTGACGCTGCAAGCATCCTTGTCACTGGGTTTTCATACAAAAAACAGTGTATATATATATATATATATATATATAAAAGCAGAGCCTTTATATCTGAGTTATTTTGATGGAATGGCCAATGTCCAATATTAACTTTATCGCTAATATCAGACAATACACATACCAAGCTGATAATATCGTGCATCCCTAGTTTTAATAATAACTGTCTTTATTATATTGTTTTTACGAGGCAGCTAATTATAAATGACTAAAAAAAGTAAACGGTGTCTTTAGTAAAGAACTTGTTGGACAAATATCTGCAGGAACACATAGCGTCAAGTCTTGTATCCATACAGTCCACAGGTACAGAAATCAATGCTGACACAATATGGTGTTTAAAACTTTAATAAATATATGTTCATCACATGCACAAGATGGTTGACATTGAAAGCTCCAAACTACAGTTGGTTTTATTGCAATAAACAATGTCATATTTAAGGGAAAATGCATTTTGGGGGGGGTTGTAATTTAAAGCTAACCAGTTTTAATATGTCCAGTGCAGACCTAAAAGTTATACTGTCATTAATTCTTCTGAATGAATCACTTCCCCTTAAAGCTAAACTTGTATTAAATGAGCTCCAATATTTTTATTGGCATCAGCTGCAGGCAGCATGAGGCGAGGGAGAAATGAGAAAACGGGGGAGGGTAAGGAAGGAAAGGAAAAGAGCGAAAGATGGATGTTGGGTAAAAAGGGAACACAAGAGCAATAGGTCTCAGCAGCATTATCAAAACTTTTTAAACCACTAATTAACAGAAAAATTATTTTAAAAACATAAGTGACCTCTGCAAATATCTGCAGACACATGTGCAGTTAAATAGAAGTATCGTGTGACCCTCTAAAAAACACAGCTGTCCGTATCTGTCTTTATGAATTAAATTTTAATTTTGTGCCATAAACTGGCTCATATAAGCTATACAAAGATGTTTTTGATGATCATTAATATATTTGTGGGTATGGTGTGTAGAGAGAATGGTGCCCTGACCCATGCAGCTGCTTCCTGAAAACTTGTTATGTCATCATAACTTGGCCGTACCCCCGCTCTTCTATCCTCTTTGGAAAGAGGGCCCCTGGGGCCCATTCAGTATACAGCTGATCCTCTACAGCTGGACTGCCTTGCCAGTCGCATGCTGGGGGCCAGGACCTGAAGGAGGGATGCAAAGACTGGGCAGGGCCAGGATGGGCTGAGAGAAGCACGCAGGAGGAGAGGGGTGCGGGGAAATGTGGGCGGTATAAAGAAGAAGAAATTGGATTTACGCCCTTTCAGCTCATCTTCGGCTCTTCATGCTCCACTGACCACAGTAACAGATAAGCACACCCTGCGGCGTTGTATAGTGACCGACTACATCGGCTAAACACTACTGCTGCACACATCTCTATTTTTTTCTGCACAGGCCTCATTTTATATATATATATATATATATATATATATATATATATATATATATATATATATATTTGTGTGTGTGTATTTGTATACAGCATATATACCGGGTAGTACTGTCCTCATAAATGCTTGCCGCTTTCAGTTGACTGTGTGCACACGTGTGCATGGGTATGAACAGCTAAGTGGGAAGACAGAGCAGCACTGGCAGCACCTGTGACCCACGCTGCACTAGAAGCTGAGTGCACACCTGAACAGCACCTGGCCACACTCGCAGCCTGGGTCTGGGGAGGTTCTCCCCTGGGACAAAGCATTAGCAGATGACACCTGCCCCAGTAAACACACACTGGGGATGCCAGTGTGATGTGGGAGTTGACACCTCACTGAGAGCCCTGAAGATCAATTAAATTTGAAAAAGAAAACTGCAGGGAGAGATTCTGAGGAGACTAAACTCCGCTGAACGGATGCCTTCCCTTAAAACGATTATATCACCAGGGGGAAGGGGGGGGGGGGGTGTTAATGAGGTTTAGAAAAAAATATAAGGAAAAGAACAAAATATTTTGAAAACACATTAGTAGTACAATTCTTCTTCTTCTTTCACCTGCTCCCTTCTTCAGGGGTCGCCACAAGTCGCACAAAGTCTTGCCAATTATTTTTACAACGGACGCCCTTCCTGACACAACCACAGCCCTCTGTGTGGAGCAGAGAGCTGCCATCTAGGGCACACGGAGGAGCAGATGGTGGGGGTTAAGAGCCTTGCTCAAGGGCCCAGAGTGGGGAAAATGATGGTGGAGGCAGGTGTGTGTGCTTCACCTATCCCACCCACATTTTGATGTTGTCGGTAGTACAATTTTTTGTAGTACAATTACCGGTAGACAAAAAGACCGAGGCTAAGACGGTGCAAATCTTATGTGTGTGTTACGTATCAGTACTGTGCACTTCAACCATTTTCTCATTGCCTCTAAATAATTAAAGCCATAAAAGCTGCCGACAGAAGTAGAGTAATTTTGGGGGAGCAAATCAAGCACTGGAGAGCATGAAATCAAAAGTTGTGGCTAAGATCTTATGGAAATGAGCTGTGAGATATTTTGAGCTCCATTGGGAGCGTAGCTGATTGTAACTAATCACAGATTGTTGTTGTAAACAAAGGCAAGAAATATTAGCTGTTTTCTAGCACAAATTCGACAAAAATCTTGATGAGTTTGAGCTGCATTAACCTACCGTTATTTATTGATGTAGAAATTGTAAAAGCGTAAAAACTTAAATTAAAAAGACTTGAAAATTATGTATTTTGACAGTTTTTGTGGCTTAAACATATGGCTACTGACAGCAACATGCATTATATAAACGAAAAATAGTTTATCACAACAACGGCAACAGATATTCTGTTAAAAACTGAAATGCTGAATCTGTAAAATTTGAAAAGCAGACACTGTTTTAATGTGTTCAACATACTATACATCAGTGGATGATCCAAGTTTTAATGGAGCGGCCACTCAAAGCAATGACTGTCAGGCAGTCTTATTAAAAGAACACGTGTATGTTGACAGGCTGAGCATGTGGCTGCAGCCGTGTGTTGATGATGGAGTTAAGCTGATTAGTTTTATATGCAGGACTAAAGCTGTTTGAGTAACAGATATGAAGCACGCCTGAGAAACGTGAGTTTTAAACAGCTCAGCAGTTCTGACGTCACGCCTTCAGGCGCATGGCTGGAAGGCCCTGATGCAAAAACAGCCCAGTTATGGCAGTCTGAACCCAAATAAAACATAATTAAACTTTAATCAATCAAGTAGTGCGTTTCTGAAGAAAAATAAATAGTTGAAATAGTTATATTTATCAAAAGCTCTAAAACCCGAGCTTACTGAGTTTTTAATTGTTTATTTGCCTTTATAAAACTTTAAAAAATAAGCCCAAGTAGAAATTTACAGAACTGATTCTTTGCATTAACAAAGTCTTTAGTCCTTTTGGAACAAAAACAATGTGGTAAATTAGATAAGACAAACCTGTGACTGTAGGATACATTTAGGTAAATAAGTTTGTTTTTTGTGTAGGTTTGACCTATTACAAAAACAAGCTGCAATTGTTAATAAAGGTAAGTATAAAAAAGAGTTTCAGAAGTTCTGCACTGTGTGGCAGTTTTAAAATTTAAGGTTAAGTAATAAAATAAACCTTATCTACCTTCAGTCTATTGACAATATAACATCAGACAAATACTAAGCATGCTTTAAAAATTCAACATGAAAACTGTAAAGTGTAGCTTTTTCAGCTATAGCGCATCCCCTCTGGTAATTTACCAAAAACAGCCTTCCCCACTGATGTCCCTTTATCAAGCTGACACCAGAGGAGAACATCTCGGCGGGTATGGTAATTAGATGCAACCATTTCTTGTCAGGGTCATGAACTCTTAGCAATCCATGTAGCTGAGCAATTAAAACAAGTAAATTAACCTCCCACCAAAAGATCTGCAAAAAGACATCAAGTAAATCACTGCAAAAATATTTTACATGCAGCAAATACCTGCACATTCTTACACATTTCTCTTTTTTGCTCAAAAATAGTCAGTGATCCTCTGCAAATCAGTTAGCTTAACCCCAAATCATTGCAGCTTAGTGACCAAGGAACAGAGATTAATATTTTGAACACAATAGGACTACCTAATGTCATCTACAAGTACTAATATTAAATAATATAAAGACGGTTGCGACCCGAAAAGGAAAAAGCAGGTAAAGATTAGAGTCCGATCGATATATTGGTAGGGCCGAAAGTTTAGGCCGATATAAACGTTAGGGGACATATCGTATCGGTGACAATTGTCTCATTATGTGCTGATATAAGCACTTCTAATTTTCAACCCTAAAATGCTGGGAACCAGTCATAATTGTAAAATGTGTCCAGCAGAGGGCGCATGAAGACTACTTTCAAGTCATGGCTGTTCACTTAAGTTTCACTTTCACATTCAGCACAGATGAAGCAGGGAGCAATACTGTGTGGCGTATTTTGCTGAACAGAGCATGGTACGTTTATTTTAACTGATCTGTAAAGCAAATAAAAAATATATAATTTATCTTCAATCCTCCAACCCGCTTGTCATTAGCTACGTGCCTGTCAAGTTAGCAAGCTAACGTTTAGATAACCTAGCATAGGCTATTGCCTTGTAAAACTTCATCCAGAATAATAAATCTAACATACTCTGGTAAAATATATCACCATGTGTAACTGACTGACTAAAGAATGAACAGGGAAGAGCATTTTTTTGTTGAATTTATATTTTTGTAACATACTAACTTTATGGTGAACAGTGGAGGATAGAAAATGTGAATGCACTTTAGGAAGACTGTTTTTATGACCAGTGCACCACTTGTAAGCCTAGTGTGGGACTACATATAGCATGGATCTGATTTGATTAGCTTCATGGTTGCTATTGCTAACAGCCGCGCTAAAAAAACAAGCTACTCCACTCGTTGTTACCGTACATTCTTGCGGGTGGACAAAGCGCAAAATTTTTCAGCCATTATATTGGTTATCGTAGGTCGCATTCTCCTCCCATTATCAGTATTGACAATAGCCAAATGAATGAATGAATGAATGGATGGATGGATGGATGGATAGTACATCTGTGTGTAAGGACCTGGAAATCACTCCATCTGTAGCAAGTCTTTATGAAGGATGACTATCTATAGCTTGTCTAAAAGTAGCTTGTGTACCAGGGGATCAATCAGTTGAATCACAGACTGACGTGGCTGTGACTGACAACGATTTGATATGCAGTGTGCATGAACAATGTGGCTGCCACCTGCAGAGTTTAATGTTCTGATTAGGCAGAGGACTGTAGAACAAATAGGTAAAGACCAGAGACCAATTCATCCATAGTCCGCCATCATTGGGACCCATATCTGGTCCCTCAGACACATTAAAAATGCAGTTATGTTTCATTTCAAAGCCCTCTTAACCGTTCTAGCTTCTAGAGAAAGACAGTCGTACTAAATCTAACAAATGTATGCACCATAATGTACATGCTATATATTAACACACATTAATGTAAACTGAATCAAGTTATAAACCTCAAAATTATTATCTTACAACCTTTTTTTCTTGTACGGTAGTTATTTTTGACCAAATGCTAATTCTTCAATTTTTGAAATCCAGAGATATTTAAATGAAAAACTGAATCTTGAAGCCATTTCTTTAAACCTTTAACGCCTTTAAAAAAAGGACATTTTTAATCGGTCTTACATTTTCCACCACATGGGATGGTTACGAACTCTTGTGCTAATTGACCTTCTTACTACATGGACAAGACTTTAGTGTTATTTAATTGGGACAGGAAAATGTAACGTATCATGAGAAAAGAAAGGTTGGCGATTTTTAGCTTAAATTTTGTTCAAAATATATATTTTTGACCACATTTATGAAATAAATATTGCTCAATATTTTGCAAACAATATGATTTCCATCATAAAAAAGAAATATTCACAAGTACTTTGTAGTATTTTTACTGTTCAAGTTTGCTGACGGTTTGAATATGTGTACCTAAGTAAACAATTTAAGTAAATGTAAATAAAAAAGTGCCAAGATTTGAAACAGTCTTGTCAAAAGTTCAAACGCTGACAGGACTGACTGAACTAAAACCTGTTTCTATGGCCAGACAAATTTTTAATGGTAAAGATGATCTACCTATCATCACAAATGTGCACTTTCCTCAACTGTGGTTATTCTACCATGAGCATGGATGAGGAATAACCTCTCAGGCATGACTTAATAAGAAGACTGAAAATGCCATACATTTATGCAAGCCTTGGATATTACCGTGGAAAACAATTTAATAAGACTGCAGTCATCCAGAATTCCCAGCCTGAGATAAGCAGAAGCAATTCCAAGTTTACAATCATACTGTCTAAAATTGACATATCGCAGCAACAGATCACATCCATATTCTACCGCTGGTGAGCACATTACAGATACAGCGGAAGAGGAGAGCTATAGCCGTCACGTGATCAATTACAGGAAGATAACATTTTGTTTCCGTTCAGCTGCATCCATTTGTGAACTAATCACAGAGCTTGGAAACCAGTCCCCACAGCCATTATACAATGAGCTGAAATGTAGTTAGCCATAAAAGTGTCAAGTGGTTACACATCACAGAGAAGCTGAACGCTGGATCACAGACACATTTTAATTGCTGTAATGTCAGAGAATATTGTGGCTCATTAACGGAGCAAAGGGTAAACAAGCAACAAAAAAATATTCATGACCAAAAACAAAAAATGTAGCTAAGAACACATTTTAAATAAAATATTAAAATAACACATTCTAAAAAAAAAAAAAAAAAGAGTCAGATGAAGACAGAGCATCTCTGAGCAATTGGCGTGAATATCATATGAAACCAGTGAGCTGGGAAATGACATAAACTGAGATCAGTAAGACTCAGAAAAAAATGTATATATATTCATTTTGTCAGCCCAGTTTGTGTCCCCATCAACCCATCAATGAGGATAACTGGGATTTGACAACCCCTGAAGAAAAATGACAACATAAAAATGCATGATAAGTTGACAACAGGTAGAAATTTGATGTGAGAATAACTTTGATACAACTCTAACACACACACACAAATATAGACGTGCATACAAGAGAAGATGCTGAAGGTGGACTTGGGGAGAGCTTAGTGTGACAGAAAGCTGCACTGATTGTGTGACTCCTGCCCTGGGGGAGGGTCATCACAGATGGAAGGGGATGCAGAAAGGAGAGGGGAGACTGAGAGGATGTAGCAAGCCTTTCAGCACTGCTATCTCCACATGCATCATGTGCCTTGCACATCAGTCAAGCGTCATTCTTTTACAGTATATTTCACCCCAAAGGCCACGAGAGCGCAGAGTTAAAAGAAGTAGCTTACTTACCCATTACGTTGGAGTTCATAAAAGGTGTTGGGGACAATCCTTCATGGGACACTAATCGACTGTCACTCAGATGATCGCTGTAATGAGGGCTGTCTGCAAAACCCTGCAGGGAGGAGATCCAAATATTAGACACAATATTGAGCAACTTCATTAATTACAGCCAGACAATAATTAGTAAAAGGAGAATGCAACTGGTCGATAATGTCAAAAACAAATCTGCACAGTATTACAAAAAGTAAATACATATTAATATTTTCTAGTGGCAGCAACTGGACTATCTTAATAATATTTAAAATGTCTTGATTTGTAGTGAAAATGTCATTTTGGCAGATTTGCTAATAAAAAACAGCAATGTTTGCTTTGAATTTTACTGTTTCATTGACACTAATACATGAAAACACCATCAAAGTTGAACACTCAGCTGTAAGTTTTATTCAAGCTTGACGGATACATCTACTGAAAATTTATACCACCAGCTAAATACGTGCAAAAACTCCTAAAAAAAACAATCACCTTTGTGAGTGCATATTGTGTGTATGCACTAAAAAGCTAATTTTTAAAGTAAATAATATTTTTCAAGATAGTCTGATAAACTGTAGTTTAAAAAAATATACAACTAAACAGTGTCAATCAATACAGTGTCAAAATAAAACAGTGAAGTTCTTTAAATTGTAACAGCAGAATTATTTGGAATTATTAAACCTATGTCAACCACCAGACCTTTCAAGTGTTTTCTGGTTGATGCAAAACCTTAAAAAAAAAAAAAAAAAGGGCTACAACCTTTGAAATGGAGGCAAATATGACACACTTTTTGTAAATGCAACTTGCTGCTCAACAGTAGTATGAAGTTCAGGATATGCAATTCAATTTTAAATTCATCTATGAACTGATGAACTGAACTCTAAACCAAACCCGTATTTGGAAGTTTAATGAGAAAAAAACTTTTAAATTGTACTAATTTGTGTTGTTTCTTATACAGATTAAAAAAAAGTTGTTGTTCAGTGGAAGTAGAAGAAACACAGAGATGCAATCCCACGAGTTCTAGGTACCTGCAGCTTATAAAAATTGCCTTTTTCTCCTGCAGCTTCACAGCACCTTTTCATGACACTTATCAGCTTCAGGGGCTTAGGCCTAAATATTGGTCACAGTATGGTTTTGGAAAACTTGGGGTCCCGTGTAATAAAAGATGCTCTGTTACAGTGTTAATCCCAAACCCTGTGAAAATCCTTCTGCGCTCCAGTCAAATGCATCTTCCCAAACTACATTAACTCCCACCAGACGGACCAAGCAGCAGTGGGCTTGCATTTCTATAGAGCTATTTCCACCAGCCTGTACACTTTGCATTCAACATACAGTAAAAAAAAAGTTAATCTTATTATCTATCTTTTTTTTTTTTTGAGTGGATGGTGATGGAGTAATTTCAAAGTGTTGTGCTGCGTTGAGGAATTCCCTGTTGTGCTCCTGCCAGGCTGCACACACTGTTAATCACACCATGAACCGACTCAATAACAACAGCCCCGTGAGAACACACACACATAATATGTTAAAGCAAGTGAAAAACTTTCTTTTTTTTAACAGTAGAAACAAAGGAGGTGTTTCCAATCAGCACTTTCAGGAATAAATCGTCTAAGAAAAACAGACACTATGTCCTTGTTTTCAAATTTGTCCAAACAAAGCTGATTTATTCAGTGAACTTAAGGTTTAGAGCTTATGATTTCAAGTGTGTGCGCCTCTCCACTGAGTTTCTTGTGTATATGAAGGGATCCAACGTCTTGGAGACATGATCCTGTTCAGGCTCTAGTACCTTTGTAGGGCAGGTATTCAATTGAACCGCTCAGGGGGGCACAGTTACTAAAGCCAAGAGCTAAAGAGTCAGACATCCGGCAGTTATTGTCACTACGCACATTTATTTTAGAGGTTAAAATCTAGTTTCATTGTAAATTAACCCATTGGTGGACCAGACTGAGGTCACCCGCAGGCCTGATGTGGCCCCCGGGCCACCATTTAAATAGCCCTGCTGTAGGGTATGAATCAGTTTTCAACTAAATGACTTTCTGGCTGAAGCCAACCTTGAGGACTTCTGCTGCCATCCAAGATGGACTCAACAACAGGCCTGTCGCAATAAACAATAAATCAATTAATCGCATGATGAAAATTGTCAACCTCCTTTTCATTTATCGGCTTTACCGTTTCTTCGTGTCTCTCTTTCTACTGAAGACACTCGATGACAAAAAGCTCAACTCCGGTGCTCTTCACTGACCCCTCCCTTTCTCTTTTAAATCTGTTTTAACCGTCCAAAAATCACGTTTTTGGATCGTTAAGAGCAGCTAAGCTACAAGCTAAGCTAAGCTAACAGGCTGACCTTGGGGGAAAAACCTCCGTCTTGTCGAAGCTCCAAAATTCACGGTTGAAACCGGTGCCTTCGTGTAAAAAGTTGTTTTTCTCTGCAAAAAGAAGCTGAGAACTTGTTTACTGATTTTTTTAATTTTTATTAAAAAGCTTTGTGTGAAAAATGCTATGCTAAAGAGCTCAAACCACACCGAGCGTCCGCCATTTTGAGAACTGAAAAAAGGAAAGAGAGACATCAAGGGGCCTCCCTCCCATTTTTCTTAAAGAGGCTCGCTCCCTCACTATCCATCCTTTGGTTCAAACAGTCTCATACTGCCATCAGGTGGTCAAAAAAGGTACTACACTCAAAACAAATCAACATTTCTTCTCAAACTTGACAATAATTACTCATTATTGTCAAATTTTAAACAATATTATCGTTTATCGCAATAATTTCTGAGACAATCGCGCAGCAAAATTTGTTATCGTGACAGGTCTACTCAACAATAGAACAGTGTTATGAGAATCTTGCTGAAGAGGCAGTCAATCTGCACAAAACATGAGGCTGGATGGGACTGTAAGTGGACAGAAATTTTAAAACAAAATATGTTTGCAGGTCTAAACACATTAAACAATGAACTGGGATCAGCGTAATTTATTGCACACTGTATGCGTCTGTTATATGAATAAACATTTGCATTAATATTGATAAATGAATGACAATAAATATTTGGGTTGTAAAAACACCTCAGCATTTTGGACAGAGAAACCAAAACCTATTAAACTTGGCAGAAATGTGCTAGAATTGTGCTTTTACAAAATACAACTTTTTCTTTACTGAACCTTAATGAGGTTATTCTGCTTTAAATAACCAAACAGATTAATTAAACAAACTGTTAGTGGTCTTATCAACTAGCTTTACCCAACCAAAAAGGTAAGTGTACTCCACAAAGTGCAACGTCAAACATTTTTATTAAATAATGCAAAGCATTTAGTGGTTTGATGTTCGTTCATTCAATGTTTATTTCTGTAAGTTAGACTTATTGAGCCACGAGGACTCATTTGCAAGAGAGCCCTGATTTAACAAAGAACACAAATGAGGTACAGACAACAATAGACAAATAAGAATATAAAAATATAAAAAGCATATAAAATGAAAAAGTAAATAGAAGAAATTAAATTAAAAACAAAACAAAAACAGCTACAATGTAAAGCGACGTAGAATACTAAAAACAGGAACATGTCTGTTGAACGGTGCGCTAAGATTCATAACTGGCTGCAACTACTGTACCCACCACTGCACCCAGTATTCACTGGTTAACTGGACATCATTAACTTCACGCAGACTCTCTCACTGGTACATTTTCATTTTTAAATCACTTCTTGGTCTGCTGCCTTCATACATCTCCTCCGACATGTCTCTGCGTGAGTGCAGCTACAGCATGCGCCCTCAGGACATTATTACCTGCAGTGTTCCCTCAGCGCGGACTGAAATAGGCAAAAGGGCCTTCTCCTATTCCGCTCCTGTTTCCTGGAATAACTTGCAAAAAGATCTGAAGCTCTCGACCTTGACCTCTCTAAGTGGCTTCAAACATCTTCTAAGTTCATGGCAAAAACCAACGCAGACATGTTCCTGGTTTTAGTTTTCTACATCGCCTTACAATGTAGCTGTTTTTGTTTCGTTGTTTCATTTCTTCCATTTACTTTTTATTTTATACGCTTTTTTATGATTGTCTACTGTCGGCATCTGTGTTCTTTGTTTAAAACAGGTCTCTCTTGTAAATGAGTCCTCGAGGCTCAATGAGACTAACCTGTAGAAATAAAGGTTGAACTGAATTATAATCTGTGGCAACTGCTTCACATGTAATCCTAAAAGGCATCACTCCAGTCACTATTTATACGTCACTGTCCTGTCTTAAAATCAGTCTTTCTTAAAATGTATTCAAATGCATTTTACAACGGCAAAGAGAGGCAAACATATAAAATACCTTTTGACGGTCCAAAACGTTACATACAATGCAAATATTTACTGTTTATTGTCTAAATTGGTTGTGGATCAGTCTAAAAGTGTGGCCATACAAATATTTAGCCTTGCTCTGAAGTGTGTGCTACTCAGAGTCTGTTAGATCATCAATCACAGGGTCCTCATCGTTCCCCAACACCGGTGGCCTACATCTACGACACTAACATATTCTGTCATGGCTGCCACAGGGCAACATTAGCACTACTGGCTAAATAACTGTCAGCTAACTGGCAGCAAGCAGGCCACAGCTCACGCCTTGCTCCCCGATCGCTCGCCACAGCTCAGTCATTTTTTCACACGCTGAGCCGCATCCCAGGTGGATGCGAGGCTGCATGTGAGAAGTCATGATGTGGTCATGATGGATGCGTGTGGGGTCGGGTATCAATTAGGGCAGGGCACTGGGGATGAGGGAGTTGTCGTTTGGTGGCGATGGCACAGCCCTGCCTGTCAGACTGCCAGCCCACAGCCACAGCTACCCAGGAAACAGCGGCTGGCTGGGAGCCGAGGTCAGCGCAGCAGGTCTCAGGACTCTTCACAGGCGACTGATCACACCAGCAAACAAGCTCAGGGACGACACTGAGCTCCCTTTGTAACAGCCTGAAAAATGAGGCACGCAGAAGTTCTTCCAGGAGCCTTGGACAGATTTTGTGAATAAAGTATAAATTGGTAAATTTCTGAAGAACAGGGTGGTTTTTAATTAACGGTAAGTATTTGATTCTTTTCCAGCAATGTGATGATTCGAAAATAGGTTTTTCAAAAAACATCTTATTACTGAGGATCAATTTTTATCTCAAAGGCAAACGTTACGTTCATCATTGATTTCCAATCTTCCTTTTAGAAAATGTGGCTTAAAGGTCGTCCACGTTACTGTGATCATACAAGCTTCAAAAGGGTTGAGCTGACTCAAGTGAATGTAAGAAAATAAACTCTCAAACGTGTAGACACATTATCAGGAGGTCAACTTAAACGTTGTGTTGCATATAGGCCTGTCACGATAACAAATTTTGCTGGGCGATTAATTGTCTCAGAAATTATTGCGATAAACGATAATATTGTTGAGTTCTCAGCTTCTTTTTGCAGAGAAAAACAACTTTTTACAAGAAGGCACAAGTTTCAACCGTGAATTTTGGAGGTTCGACAACACAGTTTTTTTTCCGCATGGTTAGCCAGTTAGCTTAGCTCGTAGCTTAGCTTCTCAACTTAGCTGCTTTTAACGATCCAAAAACACGATTTTGGACGGTTAAGACTGATTTTAAATCAAAAGGGAGGGAGTCAGTGAAGAGCGCTGGAGTTGAGCCTTTTGTCATCCAGTGTCTTCAGTAGAAAGAGACACGAAGAAACGATGAAGCCGATAAATGAAAATGAGGTCGATCATTTTCATTTATCATGCGATGAATTGATTTATTGTTTATTGCGACAGGTCCAGCTGCACATACTTTTACTTATATGTCAAAACTGATCCATCAAAGATGAGTGACACTATTTGTCTTTCTTATACACTTCCTCTGCTTTTATAAACCTTTTTATTTTTCAGTTTAACATTTTGATTATAAAATGCTGACAAAATACCATAAAACGACCAATTTTCTTCTTCTTTCAGCTGCTCTCTTCTTCAGGGGTCACCACAAAGACTTGGCAATTATTTTTACACCGGATTACCTTCGTGACACAACCACAGACCACCGAGGTACCACAGCCATCTGTGTGGAGCCGAGAGCTGCCATCTAGGGCGCCTGGGGGAGCAGATGGTGGGGGTCAAGGGTCCAGAGTGAGGCAAACGAGGGTGGCGGCAGGTGTGTGTGCTTCACCTTTCCCACTCGCATTTTGATGTTGTCGGCTCGGGGAGTCAAACCAGCGACCTTCCCACCACAGACCCACCTTCTCTATCCTCTGCGCCACCATTCCCCCATTTAATCAAATGCATTGGTCATTTAAAAAAAAGCGCTCCTTTTCACTAAATCATAGTCTATCACCGTGCAAAATATATATATTTTGTCAACCTTGTAAAAAAATGAAGTGATTTTTACAGAACGATCCACAACTATGTGTAATTTACCATCCTATGGGATGTGTAGTCAAATGTGTATGAGAATAAAAAGCTTGTGCAGCTGTGCTCAAGTGTTTGCAGCCCTTATGGATGTGCAAACAGCTGTCTGCTGGCTGATGCTGTGCCGTGTAATGTCAGAATCACTCATTTATATGCACCTGGAGCCAAGATATCTCAAGCGGCTCTGTCTTATAATTCAAATCAAGCTGCCTGTGCTACCATAGCTTCTAGATGTTCATTCGGGAAGGGCACTGAGAAATAAACAAGGTAAGGCAGCCCGAGTGGCTCTGACATTTAACTGAATCCTAATAGAAAGTGACAAGAGATTGACGTTAAATGAAATTCATACAGGGCATCCAGAACAAGCACAGTGTGAGGGACAAACAAACGGAGAGAGACGTTCACACTTGCTCACGCTAAGACCGACAGGTTCACACTTTCAGCGCGTCTTACATCAGCATACCGTGCTTTAATATGTTAAATCATCTTAATCATTCAAGCACATCAAAATGGTTTTTATATTAACCCGACCTCACGACGTAGCAATGTAGGATTTGCGACTGTTGTGATTTTTTTACAGCTTCAAATAATAACCTATTGTGTAAATTATAACAAACTTGAGTTTAAATTCTCATTAGATGATCTCCATAGAGTTGTAATCATTACGAAGTAAAAACAACAAAAAAAAAAATCCCTGAAGCAACAAAACGATCACTCAAATGCTCAGAAAACACCTTCTCGTTATTAGTCACCGGCTCGTTTTAGTCGAAAACCGTTTTTACATCAAACACACGAGCTTAACCTGAGGCTCGACAGACGAAACAGTAAAACTGTTGATGAATCAACAGTTGATGAAAATTAAACATGTTCACCGATTAACAACTACACTCATTTGTCAAACAAGATGCAGTGAATGAGAAAACTTGTCTCTTGCTGTTTTACATAGCTTCTATTAAATGTTTAGTTTTTGTTAATGGCTGTAAAAGTGCCCTGTGATGAACTGGACACCTGTCCAGGGCGTCTCCCTCCTCTCACACAGTGGTGGCTGGACATGGGCACCAGTGACCCCTGTGGCCCCTGCGACTCGTAAAAGGAAGAAGCAGGTAAAGATAACGGATAGACAGGTTGTACAAGCCTAAATAAACCGAATAAAGTAGTCCCTCGCTACTTTGCGCTTCGTTTATCGCGGACTCGCTCCATCGCGGTTTTTCAAAATAAGACTGGACACGACAAACAACTGTCTGATTGATGGATGAGCCGCACAATCGGCATGAAATTTTTATTTAAAATAAATTATTTTAAATAATTCAGCGCCTGAGCTGCAGGAAAAAAAACTTCCTCCTGCACCTTTTTGCAGCCCTTACAGCAGGATAAACTTCCTGCTGCAGCTGATCAGCTGTTCTCGTGCAGAGCAGAGAGGTGGGCGTGGCCAAGAGCTCATGCAAGTGGCAAAGAGCAGACGAGGCAGACAGAGGGAAATCATGATATGCTGTGCTCTTTTAGCGCGTTTGGAGTTTAGAAACATTGTTTAGAATATTGCAAGAGTGTGGAAAGGGTTTAAAGCACACACACACATATATATATATATATATATATATATATATATATATATATATATACATATATATGTATCATACTAAAATAAAGTACTACTTGTACTGCTATTCCTAAGTCACGGTTTTTCACTTATCACGGGGCTTCTGGGTACAGATCCCCCGCGATAAACGAGGGACTGCTGTTTTAGTGCTTCAAGAAATTGTGAAGGTACATTTTTATAGACTAAACTATTATTCAGTTAATGTATCAAACAAACATGTATATTAATCAGTTATGACGTGTATTATTTGTGTTTTGAATTTCTCTAAACGTCGGCTCCTCACATGTTTTTATTGGAAGCTGACGCATTAGATTTTTTTATATTAATCAAAAAGATATTTATAAAAACAGAAAGTATGCTTTTATATTAGCTTTTAGTTTGTAATGGAATCATTTGAGATGTGACTTTGAAAACACAACTATCACGGGCTGCATTAATCTGATTAAGATTCTGAGCGATGTTATAATCCTCAAAACACGGATCGATCACGAAAAGCTAAAATAAATCTGCTAATACAAACAACCAGGAGAAATTTGCCTTTAGGTTAAAAGAACATTTCATTAAACATTATTTATAGATACTGTAGCTAGAGACATCCAATTTGGTTACGGTTCTCCATGACAAGTTGATAAACACGTCAAAAAAATCAAACTAAAAATCAATTCATCCAGCCCTGAAAACATTTTCCAGTCCATTCTTTCACAGATAAATGTCTATACAGGTGAAATAACGTGACAGGCGCTGGGATAAGGTGAGACTGAAACATTGTGAATTCACCACTTTGATGTAATGAGTGTTAAATGATGTGCTGTGGAGCAGAAAGGCCACTGAGAGGAATTATATTGTGGGTCATCTTACCCGCGAGGACCCATAAGAAGGACTGGACTCGCCACCTGGGGCCCAGGACGCCTGGGTGGTCCTCTCATCCATACCTGTCAGAACAAAAGACACACAACCCAGTCACCACGTCTCACAAAGTTCAGTGTGCAGGTGTTTGGTTCACCACACAGACTCTGAACAGATTCCAAGAAAGCTCCACTAAACGTTGCCGTTTAAGAAGCGACGAATGAGAGGACGTCCGTTTAACTCACATTATAACTCCTCAGTTAATGCAAGGACAAAAATAAACAATATTCATAAATTAAAACTCAATCGAGCCATAAAAAAAACATAATGCTACATTTATCTAACTTACGTACTGTCAGCCTATCGTTGGTGTCATATTGCAAAACAAACATCTTTGGATTCTGAGTAGTTGAATGGACCAAATTTAATAAATGAATAAACATAACACCCTAAAGTTTAGGACATTAGATTAGAGACTTCACCAAACTTGAATTAATCTGTGTCTGTCTGAAACATAATTTAAATCCTGAAATTCACAGGTGCTCCTTGGGGAACCTGCTTTACAGAAGTCATTTGTAAGCTAAATTAAAAACGTCGGCTTCTTCTGTAATTATTTTTGATTGATTATATTTTTGATTAGCGTCTCAAGAGAAGTACATACTGATCACAGTTCAATATCCTTTGGCTGATAGCTGGCATGACAAATATGACACTTTCCTATCTTGGTTTTCTGAACATAAATAACGTTTGTTTTTTAATTACTTCAACGGTTTTAAAGTTTCAAAAACATTTATTTTAAAGGCTTTATGACTGTGTCGCTTCATATATTTCTAATGTACCACAACAAATACATAATTTGATGCAGGCTGCAGAAACACGATAAAACTAATGTTTCAGATGAACAAAAACCTACATCTCATATTTCAAAAGTCAGGCAGAAAAACACAAAAATCAATAACGCCAACCAAACTGTCAAGCTAGACCATCTGGCATGTGTTGAAAGTACAATATGTGGGATTTACAATCTGATTTATGTTATACAGTCATTAACAGATCCTCGCAGCCTCGGTTCTTCTGGCTCTTTACAACAATATCGTGTGGTAGAAACAACAAAACCACGAAAATCATCTACGTTTGGAAAGTTATTGATTATTATTTCTCTTGTAATTCCATCTTTCTCGGTAAAATGCAATACCATTTGTTTGTTTTCACCATCAAATAATAAAAAATAATCTGATTTACAAAATGTGTACGCTTGAAAAAAAAAAAACGAACGCTGGGAGCAATAAACAAAAGTTTTCAATATTATTACATATTTTTAACTTTGAAGTTTTATGAATTGAGCTAAGATGCTTCCATGAAGCAAGCAAGGTAAATATATATATTTAGACATTTTTGGAAAGCTGAATTTATGCAGCTAAACATATAATTAAAATCAGTTGGATAAAATGTGAGTAAAAGAACATGAACAGGAACCATAATGTGCGCAGCTCAGCTAAATGTAACGTATCGAGTTTAAATACATCCTAACTTTCATGTGTAACATAAATTATTATTTTTAAAGTAAAGCACTTTAGTGTTACAGAACATTAATAAGGTAAAATTACATCATTACAGTAGAAGCACACTGAAAGCATCAAAAAGTGTCTTTTTTTTTAGGTTTAGGGGACATTTATTAAAATGGCAAAGCCATTTTTAACCTCGTTGCTGGAAAATCAAACCTCTTCATCAGAATTTTGAAGATCTAATTATATACCTAAGCAGAAAGTCCGTGACATTTCAGTAAGCAGAAATCATGCCTCAGTGAGCAGAGCTTCAGCTCAGTTTCATCCTGACAAACATGATGCTTTGCTGTTTGCACACGGTAGATTCGTTTCCTCTTCTTCTGTGGCTTCATGGAAAAACTGCAGTTAAATTTGACTCACTTTCATCACTTTTGCAGAAAACAGTCTTTCACATCTGCCACGATGCTCTTGCATCTAATTTTAAATATTCCTGCAGGTATCTTGTCTGTAGTGAGCACAGCAAAATGAACAACGTTCAGGTAAACTAACAGAATAAGCACTAAAGTTGGCAAAAAAAACAAACTAACTGGTATTTTTCTTGTCTCTGTTGGACCATTAGTAAACAGCTGCACCCTCTCTAAATCCCTGATTCAGTTGAAGCGCTTCAATAGACAATTATTTGCATAAATATATGATTTGGACAGATTTTAGTGATGATTTGAAAATGTGCATCAAACCTGAGACATTTTAAAGTACCGTCTTAGTAATCTGCAGAACAAAACAACCCAATTTCCAGCTTTCCTTTGAATATTTCAGTATCTAAATACCGTAAAAGATATCACATAATTATACACCATAAAAGAAAGCTGTTTCTTCCCAAGTAGCATTTAGTTTAACCTGTGACAAATACAGCAACAACCTCCCTGAATCTCCTTTAAATTCCCACAACTTCAAATGTGAAATTAATGTAAATTCTCACACACACTGTTGAAAGCAACTTGCATCATTTTATTTTAAAGTCAGTCATTTAAACTGTTGTCAACCGGAGTCCCAGCCTAATTAATACATCTGTGACACAATCTACGAGCATTTATTTCTTTGTACAAAGGCAAGGACAAACTTTCTCATGGATGTAGAGCATCCATGTGTAAACAGCTCATTTGAGGTGCAACAAGATCAATAATCCAAAGTTACACTGAACCTCTGAACGAACCAGTAACCGACCTGCGTCTGCATCTAAACGGATCTGATCGTGTCCACTCAACACAACGCTGGAGTTTAATCAGACGAACATTTCAGAAGCATCCCAAAAGTGATGCTCACCTCGTCTAAAAATACGTGCCGGCTCTAGTTTTGATAGAATCTGCAACTAGAGGCTCTAAAATACGAGCCAAGATATAATTTAGACGTGGAAACGGGACAGAAAAGCTGATCAACTTTCAAAAGAAATGCAGGAAATCGCAACGACAGGTCACAGAACAAACGTCCACCTAAACCAGCCGGACTAGATTGAATTGAGCTTAAATGGGCTGAGTGTTTTAGCAACAGACGATGAGAAGTTCGTGATCTGAAAAACACAAGAATGGACTTTAAACAACAGAAAAATAATGAACTCCTTAATTTTAAAAACTACGCTGAAATGAAATAAAACAGTTCGTGTGAAGAAGGCTTCATTATTAGACATATTAGATAATTTAAATAAATAAATCTTGCTAGGTTCCGACTGCAGTAAACCAGATTAACTTATCAAGTTCAGGTTGCAAAACACGACTGCAAGCACTAAAACGTGCGATCGGATTTGAAACAATCTTCACGTGCGGGTTTTATCTGGATCGCAAGCACAATGAAATATGTTTAACAACGTGCGACGCAACGTTTAAATCAAATCCGTATTGTTGCTACGGAAATAAGGTCGTAAAATGCAATTTTACTTTCACTTTGCTATTTCTCCGAGTTGGACCGAGAACCCTGACTGTTCCTTCGCAATAAAAGCTGTTGTTGGACGCACAAAGCTGCACGTAAAACGAGACAGCAGAGAGATTGTGAAAGCTAAGGTCAGCGCTGAAATATTTAGTTTAAGATCCAAGTGACCGGACGACATCAAGTCCACATCAACAGCTGGTCCCACCAACAAATGCGCCACTGAATGAAAATTATCCTTTTCACAATGGCCTCATCAGATTTGCATCATCAACACAGCTGGAGGGGAGAAATGATAACCCTCCGTTAGAGCCACTTTGGCTATTTTTCTCCCATCCGTCTCTCTCCGGCACTTTTGAAGGTCCCACTCTGCTTCAATTATCTGGCAATGCCCAGCTGAGATGCAATAATCCAAACCCTCATTCCCTGCAATTTTCACACTTAGGTCTGCACACTCACTCGCCTTAAGTTTCCAATCACTTATATAGGTGCTTCTTCCCCCACCTTGAAGATCTGAGAGACATGAGCTCTCACTGTAGTCTGAAGGGAGGAGGGATTTACTTCAGCAGTGGAATATTTAAATCCAAATGTATGCAGATGCAATCTAATTTTAGCCTCAGCAAATTAGAATCTGCACTATAGAGGGAAAGATGTATAGAGGTTTTTTTCTAAATAAACTAAACTAGACAAGAATGCAAAAAAATAAATAAATAGTCTGGTTTCAAACCACACAAAGTCCTGACATGATTTACAAATCCCTTTTTCAAAAACTGTAGGAAGTCTTCCAGTGCATCCTATTTGTTCATTTGTTTTAGTCTTTACTAAACAAGTACAGAGAAAGTCGTGTTCAGTGACTTTATTCACCAACTTTATTCCAGTTAAATCAATTACAGCCATAATAGCAGTCAAAATGTGCGATTTGTCCATGTTTTTAATTTGAAAATTATTAAAATGATCGAAACAGCAAGTATTTCTTGTCCGTTTACAGCTAAATATGTCGATGGGTGAAGATCAGCGGTTGAAGTTCTCCCGTTAGGAGCTCAAAATCTCTCGGCACAGCTCATTTGAATATGATCTTAGCCGTAGCTTTTGCTTTAACGTGCTCCACACGAGTTCCTCCCTCAAAATGACTCCTCTCGTCGACATCTTTACAGCTTTTAGAAGCCGTTTCTTTTCAGATAAAGAGAAAAACTTTTGACTTTTCACATCGCTCTGACTGCAAACATCTGGAGGTTAGTTTACGGACTCGTCGAAACTGTCTGAAGTGTGCGGATGTAAACAAATGAATTGTAATTGTTGGCAACAAAACGAAGAAAAAAAACGTGTATTTTAACAGCTACTATGGTTTTTAAACTATCCAAAAAAAAAAATAATGTGCAAAGAACAACAAATATGTAAGAGGTGAAGTAAGAAAAACAGTAATTCTTTTAAAGAGGATTTTATTATCAGCGGGTGAGGGGTTCAAGAAAATCCACAAATTTCTCTCCTCCCTAGCAGGAATAAGTTGTGGCTCAGGACTTTGTCCCAAAGAAATGTGGATAAGTTTTAAAAAAATTAATAAATATCAACAACTTTTGTGCTTTCAATGCCAACAGCACAAAGAATTATGAAGAAGATTTGAGGAGTAATGAAAAATCTCAGGCGGTGAAGGCCAAGGACAGAAACCACTGATGGATCCTTCTATCGCTGCGATCAATACAGCCACATGGGACCGGGAGTCTCCTAGTGTCACTCAAGGTGGAGGTATTCTGCCGCCGAGTCCAGCACTAACAACACGAAGGAGGAGGACATTTATCAACTGCTGTGTTCTCGGGACACAAGCTCATCTCAGGTGACAGGCAGACAGTGGGCATGATGGTCGGATTAATCCACTTTCAGCTGATTGCAGATTCTGTCCCAAAGAGGCTGGCGTCCAGCCAATAAAGATCCAGCCTGTTTTCAAAGAAGCAACGGCCCTAGCTGAAATGAGATGGGCGTAAAAGGAGCTGGCTTTAGGGGCACCACTGAGACCAGAGGCAAATTATTTTCTGAATTTTAGAGACAACTGCTTCCATGAAGAGAAGAGCTTTTCTGGGGGGATCCGTGGCGGTCTGCACAGAAACGGTTTGGTGTCGCGCGGTGCGTGCGCATGACCCGTCTGCGGATCTGACTCCCATTTAAAATGTACGCACGCAGAACAAAACGTGCATTTTGAAATGTTTCCGAAAACTGTTCTTTTATCTGATACAGAAAAGTTTAAATCAACTTAAAGGAACTACACATTTGGGTTTTGTTGCAATTCAAAACAATATTTTAATTTTACCAGAAAAAAAGAGTTTATAATGTGTAAAATTCACGCTCTTCATTTCAGAGGTGATTCGATGTAATCGAGCGAAGTCTAAAACGCTATGGTGGATCAGCAGCAGATTAAAAACACAACCTGGCTAAAGAAAACTTAAAATAATAATTAAAAACACATACATAGTGTGTGATGACAGCTTCTTAAGTTACATATAATCTAAAACAGTCTAGTAAATAAAAGTTCAATAATCCTTTCCATTTTTATATAATAATGTTTATTAAAAAGTATATTTGGGACACAGAAGTGTTGTATAAAAAGGGAGACAGTCAGCATTTTTTTAAACACACATAACGTCATTATAGCCAAATTAAATAAAGATTTCAGTGGAGACCTAAACATGAAGACGGGCTTCTTTGTCGTTAGTCTTACTGAAGAGTGCGCACAAACATCCTTCTCACTTGAATGACTAGGTATGATAGAAGTCATCCTCACCGCTCCACAGTTCATGTGTGACAGCTCTGTTCTTCTTTCTTTGTCACTTCCACGCCATGTGTGGCTTTCGTTTCACAGATAACCGACGACAATGAGGCTTTGTGGATGCACACAAGACACGCTTTCAGAAAACATAACGCTTGATTGTTGACGTTCTGTAGTGGCACATCAGACAATAGACGAGCTTCAGATTAATGTCGTGTACCGTTTATTTCTAGAGGAAGCGATCCAGAAGCAAAGAGCCTGAACTTTTCTTATTGCAACCAAATCATTCCCAAACACGTCGGCAAGAAAGAGCAGGGAAGTTTTAAGTCTTTGCATTCCTCACAGTCAAGAAGAAATGTTCAGAACAGCGCAACAAGATATTTTACTACTTCGTTAAACTACAGTCAAAATGCAGCTTCAGCGCTCGGATGAATTGACAGTTTTTTCCCAACGCACATCACAAAATTCCTCAGTCCGAACGGTTCCTGCACCTGACAGCACCTGATCATTACTGCCTAAACAGGCCTGATTTATGCGTTATTTATTCGTCTGACAGTAATGCACAACATGATTAGCATTCACGGCGCCATAACGGTAAACGGATCGATAAAACATTTGCACGTCTGTGGTCTAAACTGTGCTTTGTTCAACATCTTTACTGCAGCGCTGCTCTTCAATTCCAGATGGACGGCTCAGGTTTCGAGCACCAGATGTGAGGAGCCATCGCGCAGAGGAAGAGGAGGAATTGCATCCGAGATTGAAAGCTACGACACTTTTCCTCCCATTTGTAAACGAGCCCAGGAGCAATCCACACAAAGGCAGACAAGATCCAACAGCTGATGTGTGTGTGTGCACGGCACGCTTTAAAGACACATAAGCAGGGATCAACAGAAACCACACGGCAGGGGGTTTATAGACAACAACAAAAAGAAATAGGTTTAAGGGAACAAGTCCTACCTGATGCACTGAACTGACTGCTTCCAAGTGTGGTGGGCCTATTTTTCCCTCCACTTACAGGTGGAGAGAACATCTGAAAGTAAAAGATATACAACTAAAATTAGAAAACGACCCCGTATAAAAGCAACCACTGAGCTAATTAGCTTCAATTTTGCAGACTTTAATTTTCAAAACTCAACAAACACGACTCTTGGAATCGTTATGGCGTGACACACACTTTAATTATTTTTGTCTGAATTAAAAGTACGAATGAAGTTAACAATTTTACATCCTGAGGTTTGATCTCTGTTCCACCCCTTCTTCAGCTGATGGAGGAATTAGCGCCATCAACAGTTAATCTTGGGGTATATTTACAAAGTGGACTGATGGCACCAAGATTAAAATCTGATGACAGCAGCATCGCTGACGTGACTGCAGACTCAAAAAACACAGAAAATGGAGAACTGTGAATATTTTGGGCATTTGGGAATGAGCTGCTCCAAATAGGCAGTGATGCACAATAATCAAAGTTTCAGCTTTCATTCATAATGTTCAGCATCAGTAAATAACATTTTTAAAGAAATAAGTTTTTTTTTAAACTGTGTATTTCAAACGATAAAATAAGCTTGTTGGTGGTATGTAACAATAAAAAAGACATTAAAAGTTTCACTTGCAGTTAACAGTCCTATTTCTAAAAGCACATCAGTCCAAATCTCATCCCATCTGCTCCAAACTCGTTTTAATCTGAGCTGAAAATAACGGGGAGTCCTACCGCACTAAAATCCAGCAAATCACTTAATTCCTTGTCTGTTCCGAGCGCGGCAATCCGCTGCTGAGGGTTCATCGTGGCGATCTAGAAACCTGGACAGAGACGCACATCAGGTCACATCTGGAGCTGCTTCATCCAACGGCGGGGACTACTTCCTGAGGAAACCCACGGAGCGATCCGCTGTGGATGCAGAACAAAACCGTCGCCGTGGACTGAAAAGTTCACTCGTAACGAAGACACCGACGGTTTATGCGTTTTAGGTTTGTATTCAGTCAGAGGACGTGCGCGTCTAGCTCGCTCCCTTTAGACTTGACTTGTCTTTCTCTTTTTGAAGGGAGAAATCAGCGCTGCTGTGAATGGATGTCTGGGGGAGCTGCGGGCATCGCGTTGAAGCAGGGACGATATAACTCCGTAACAACAGCTCACGCTAAAACTCAAACATCTGTAGGAGTCGCGGGTTCGCCTGCCAGTGGCTGTGTCCGTGTCAGGGGTTTACGGAGCTCGTGTTTGGAGCACGACGATGGTTAGCCGGGGCGCCTGAGCTAGCTGGCTAACGCTAGCTGCTCGTTCTTACGGTTGAAAATAGCTGCGACCTCGTCCCGCTGCCTTTGTGGACACCGGGACGAGGGAGACGAGTGTCGCTTCAGTGACCTAAAACGTAAACTGCACACCGGTACAAACAGATGAACGCACACTGGAAGTGGTAATCTCAGACTCCAGCTCCAGAAAACAAAACGCAACGATGGTCTCGCTCAACTCCCAACTTCTTTCACGGGTCCGAAAGCTTCTGGCAAACTCCCACCACCACCCCCTGAAATTTTACCTGTTTTCCGATTTAAATCCCGACTAGGGTGATCTGGTGAAAGGTCGCTTTCTGTCAGCACCCCTCAAAAAGGCGAAATTTGAGTTTAAGCGCCAATAAGTTTGAAAATATCCTCTGTATGTGTCGGTTACGTTTCCCTTAGGCAGACATTTTTGCTTTGCAAAAGCCTCAGCACGACGATGAGAGCGGTTATTGTATCCCTCCGCCGCGCAGCGGGAGATGCTGCGGGAGTCCGCTCGTCCTGAGTCTGATGCGCGCGACCGTAGACATATATGTGTGTGTGCGCGCGACAGCTCCATGACGGAGCTAATGGAGCTAACGCACGTGAGGGATTTTTATTTTTGCTCACCGTTCCTGAAAAGATCCGTGAAAAGAGGAGGAAAAAGTGGGATGAGTAACGTTGCACGGTTTAGGCAACTTAGTTTTTCAAAGTTCTGTGGCGTTTTGAAACCATCATCCCAGACTGTACAAAATTAAAGCGTCTTGCAGAAGAAACTAGTGGCAAAGTTTTGCAACAAAGCCCCTGAAGTTTTTATTTTACATCTAATGTACATTTGAAGGGATTTGCTAACAGGTTGCAGTCCTTCGCAGGACCAGTTACTACTGCGCATGCTCAAAGTCAGTATGCTTGCAAAGCATTGTGGTTTAGAAAAGTTCATGCCTACTTCCAGTTCTTAATTATCCAAGTGGTATTTGTCGTTTGTGTATATTTGTGTTTATCTTGCAAAAAGATCTGAAGCTGTCGACCTTGACTTCAAACATCTGCAACATCTGCACCTGGGAAAAACCAATGCAGACATGTTCTTGTTTTAAGATTGCTCTCACCTTACAACCTAGCTGGGGGTTTTTTTTTGTTACTTTTTTAATGCCATTTTATTTTCACTTGTTTTTCTCAATTTGTGCACATCTTTTTTGTGATTGTCTACTGTTGTCTATACTGTCATCACTCTTTGTTAAAACTAGGTCTCTCTTGTAAATGAGTCCCCGAAGCTCAGTGGGATTAACCTGCATAAATAAAGGTTGAATGAAAAAAAAACATATTTGTTGCATTCACTAATTATAGCCTAACAACTAATAACTAATTATATTTATTGATGAAAATGTATTAGTTTATTCTTAAGTTTGACGTTTCCTTTGTTTCACTTTTATCAGCGGTTTGTGGTGCTGATCCAAAGAGTCTTGTTCATGTTTCCATCACAGAGACACCTGGACAGGTCTACTCTCCAGTCCATCACAGGGACACCCTAGACAGGTCTTCAGTCCATCACAGGAAAACAGGTCTCCAGTCCATCACAGGGACACCTGGACAGGTCTCCAGTCCATCGCAGGAACACCCTAGACAGGTCTCCATTCTATCACAGGGACACCCTGGACAGGTCTCCAGTCCATCACGGGGACACCCTAGACAGGTCTCCAGTCCATCACAGGGACACCCTAAATAGGTCTCCAGTCCATCGCAGAGACACCTAGACAGGTCTCCAGTCCATTGCAGGGACACCCTAGATAGGTCTCCAGTCCATCACAGGGACATCTGGACAGGTCTCCAGTCCATCACAGGGACACCCTAGACAGGTCTCCAGTCCATCAC